GTTTTAAACCTTGTCATTTTAACTGCAGTTACTTCATCGTGTCTGTGGAACCCAGTGTTGAGCACATATACACATATGTATTGAACTTCTCCAGGAAATCAGGTTTCTTATTGCCTTGTTCCAGGAAAACAGGTTCCTTATTCTGTTATAATACGAACTCGGCTCCTTGCACAAGAAAGTACTTAACACTTTAAAAAAGCTTTTCCTGTGATCTCATTACTGTGCACACTGTGTTATGCGTTAATGGAAACCTCATCAATTACCGGCTGTTCAGCTACATCCTGTGCAATGCAGGGTCACCCTATGGAGCTTATATGGAATTACGGACAAAAGGCCTATTCTCTTCCACATAAGCACAAACCCAAATTAATGTTGAGTCAGACTTGGCAGCATTTCAAATTTCTGCTGCCCATGTAGTTAAAAAGAATGACACTAATGAATAAAATTATTTTATAAGAGCGCTGACTTACATCCGAAAAATGTTGACTCATTTCAGCACCCGTTCCATGGCTCATTTTGCACATGGAAGTCTCCTTTGTGTGAAGCCTTGCTTCCTCTCCTAGTCCTGACTTCAGCCTGGTGTTTGATCTCACCCAGTGCCCACTAGGTCATGTGTACAAGTTTTTCCATTTATTCCAGCACTTGATCTATTTGCCCCAGCCTAGTTAATTATATTAAAAAAAAGTACAAAATTATTAGCTAGACAGTAAGGAAATAATTTCATTGTTGTGTCTGGCTGTTTGACTACATTTTCTCTGTTTTGTACTTCTTTCCTGGGGGAATTTTTCACATAGCCTATTGCCTGAAGTCAGCCCTTGGTCTGAGCTATCCCATCTGTGCTGCTGCTTGACACTAACGTGGGCAGGAGGGAATGCAGGAGAGAATACCTTGGATAGGGCTATCAGTGGCAGCGAGACAGGACTGAGTCAGGCCTTTACTTGTCACCAGTATTTTAACTGAATTCCATCAACAGCTGGAAGTGCTCAGCTTTTATAAAATCTCTGCTGACAGCACACTGCATGAGTGACTCAAAAATAAAGGTAAGCAGCTTTACTGAACACAGGAAGAGGCTAATCAGTGAATTTTCTTATTGATTCAAATGGCAGCAGAATTAGACTGATTCTCCAGCGGAATTTTAAAAGCTGGGTATTAAATTTTTGAAATGCAGGACTACTATTTTTGCACAGTTAACCCACACATCAGATATTTTCACCTATTCACATGAACCACTCATTGAAAATTAGTCCTCTAATAACCTGTATCCTCACACGATGCAAAATCAGAGCCAGCCACAGGGAAGAACTATCAAGTGCTTTTAGAAAGCTATTAGGATGAAGGAAGCTCTCCAGTAAGTTTCCTTTAAAGCCTTGCATAATTATGAATAACCCACACTGCTCTGTATTATGTGAATATTTCAATTATTTCCATTTCTTGGGTAACCTAAGTAATCTATGCACGGAAATATGAAGTGGTTTTGAAGTGGTCAGATCCATTCATAACTATGAATTATTTCTTATATTTGTTTTATTAACAGTTTGGTGTTGGGACTATCAAAAATCAATAGAGAAAAAAACAGCCAACCCCATGGAATTGTACAGAAACTAAAACCCATTCCAGCAGACAATTTCCAACTGCTGTTATGGAAGTTGCCAGTGCACAGCACAGATTCCCCAGCTTTGGTCATGAGTGTTGGTCTTCGGGACTGCTGTCAAAACAAGCTAAATACCGAGACTAAGTATTGGAACCATTTCGCAAAATCGGGAATGGGCTTCACCTGGAGCCAGTTCACCCACTGTAATGTCATCTTAATGGATTATTTTCCCTACCAGTCCCAAAAGATCATAACAAGCCTTTGCTTTCCTATAAAAATACAGGCCTTGTTAAACGCAGATTACTGACTATAAATCCCCCAGTACTGCAGCAGGAGTTTAACTTGCAGTTTTCAAAGATTTGTGATTTTTCAGCATTTTTTGCCTTTTTTTCCTGAAAAGCTGGATGCTGTAATTTCATAACCCAAGTTATATGTAACACCCAGATTGATTTTGAGGTTTCCAAAGAACTACTTGCCTATTTTCCTAACTAAGAAAACATATTTTTGCTTTCCTTTTCATTTGCAATTCCTTATTCATTTGCATTTCCTTTTTCAAAAGCAGATGAACTTGTGAATGAGTTTTCAACAGTTTTGTACAACAGAGAGAACACTTTTTAAGGTGGCTAAATGCAGTAAGAGCATTTCATATCTGGCATCTTTCTAAAGCTATATCAGAGTAATAATCCTCTGTTTCTTGTTTCCAAATATGTGAAGGTAAAGTCCACCCTTAAAGCATAATACAGTTTTTTACTGTTATTTTAAGTGTAAGAGTCCATTTTAAGCCCAAAAGAATCAAAGTTCTCAAAACCACAGTCTATAAAAGTAACTCTTGTTTTGTCTTTGCTCTTTCCAATAACTTTGGAGTGATTGTGACTACATGTGACAGAGGCAGAAGTCACAGAGATAATGAGCTTCCTACGAGTGTGATAAAAGCAGTCAAGCAGATCAGAGCGATTCTCTGCATGGCACCTGTAAGTGCCAGAGCCGTAGGACAAACTGTGCATGTGCTCACACTGTTCAGACACCAGAGAAACCTTATGGGGGAGACACTCAGAAATGCTCAAGCCAAGACAGAAGCTGCAAGCAAAGTGCAAAGCATACAGCCTGCAAAAAAACCCCCTCTATCAGCTCCAGGATTCCTTAGGAGAGTGCCCCGCCTCTTACAGTGAGTTTACTATCAATGTCTTGAATGGACGCCAGACTGAGTCCCTAATTTGTAAACTGTTAGAAAAGCTTTATTTCCTGTAACATTAACAGACCTCATATCATAGGGAAAGCTCATTTATAGTTTCTAAAACAAATTAAGGTTCTTTCTCCTTATAAGGCCACATCAAAAAGAACAATCATGATAACAATTAAATTCTTCAAGAGTCAGTCTGTACATGTGCATCCTTCCATTAAACATGAACCCTGTCTAGGGAGTGAATCACTATGACACTACTTTTTTTCTTCTTTATGCTTTTTTGGAATTGTAGTTACTTCCAAACCTTTTTCCCTGAGTAGCCTGCCCTCTTTTCCCCCACCTCCTGCTGAGTACCATTTTGCAAGCTCAAGCACAAATACCTCTGCCCAAATAGGTAAAGAAGGTTCATTGCACAGGCCACACACCTTGGGGAGGTGAATGCAATCTGAATACACGAATTAAGTGCCAGGCTCAGAGCTTTGCCTGAAGCAGTTTGCAAGACTCATCCTACTCATTTGTTCTCTTCCCCCTGTGCTGATCAGAACCCTTTTTCTTCCAGGCTACAGAGGGTTGGGAAAAGAGCTTAGGTCAGGGAAAACGAAATATTGTTATTTGATGCCAAAACGTGTTTACTAGGCAAAGCAGGAAACCTTAACCAGCTAGGCTGAGCATGCTTTTAACTGGTCCTTCCCAAAGGATAAAAGCAAGCAACTTGTCATGACAGAAACAGAATTTCAGACAATTTAAAAACAGTCATAATGAGTTGCTTTCAGGCTAGTATCTTGTATATAGGCAAATATAGTCAAATACTTTGAAAACAAATTAAATTCTTGCCAGTCCTGATGGTTTTTTAAATAAGGCATATCCATATCCCCAGAAGTCTCAGCAAGAAAGAACAATCTGTGCGCTACTGTCCACAAAGTGCAACAGACACTATGATAGCATACTTTTCACGTTGCTGTAGAAACCCCAGCAGAGTGTGCTTTAACTTTGTGAGTGATTAAAATACAAACTGTAATGCTGCAATAAAGAATTAACCACAGATAAGCAGAACTAAGATGAACACAGACAATCCCAAACACCACGTTACCTGCTTTCCTTAGCACTGAAGCTGTTTTGTTCTTATAAACAAAAGTAAACTGATAAAGTTGCATTTTGCACCTTTTGCACAGTTTGGAGGTTGCTAAATGAGGGGCACAGTTCACTGGATATGTGAGGCATTCTGCATGGAAACCAGAAATCACCCTCTTTCTTTTAGACTTTTGTCTCAACAAAAGATAGTGGAAATACTCATGTGCTCAGTCAAGAACCAGATTAACACTTCCCAGACAAAAAAAATTAGAGAGGAAAAGGGACCTTATGGAGAGGTGAATCAATAGACTCACATTACAAATTGCCAAATAAAGCATACGTGCTCCACAAAGCAGAATTGGACCTCAAGAATGAACGGCATAGATTAAAACCAGCAGTAAAGTAAAACATAGTAACTAACCCAAACTAACAACTGAACAATATGAGACAAAGAAGCCATCTGACTGACAGCCATCCCGGTGGGACAAGGAAATCAGAGATGTTCAGGTCATGCAGACCTCTGCAGTGCTCAGAAATAAGCAGATTACTATTCAGAGCACATGGGACCGGGATAATGCTAAACCCTCGAAGACATTTCACGGTATTTGTTTGCAGTCCCTTTGTTCCCTGCTAACACGTCTGGGGATTTCTCCATCCCCTGTGCCGCCCTAGACGGCCCTGAGGGCCTCTCGCCCCGAAGCTGCGGACCCCAGGCCAGGTTCTGTCCCGGCTCCTGCTCTTTGTGAGGTTATCGGAGGTTCGGGGAGAGACAGGCACGGGACAGGGCAGAGAAGGTGCCCTGCTAGGGAAGCCCCAAAGCGAGGGGTGGGGTGAGCCTGTGGTGAGACCGCGGGCAGAGCAGAACTCGGAGGGAAGCCGGCGAGGGCGAGGCATGGTACAGGGGTGGTAGCTCCAAGGCTGGCGGGGGAGCGGGAGGGAGCCCCGGGGCCGGGCTCGGGGGACGCATCCCCCTGTAAAGCCCGCCGGGGCTGCCCGAGGGGCCGTGCCCGTGGCCGGGCGCTCCGCTCCGCTCCCCGCCGCGCTGGGCAGGCTGCGGCAGGTAGAGAGCCGGCGGTGCCGGGGCTGCGCCTCTCCGCGCCCCGCTCGCCCTGCCCCCGCGGGCCGGGCAGCCGGGGGCGGGCGACAGGGGTGTGCGGCGAGGGGGATTAGCGGGACGCCGCGGCCCCGCCTTCCCTCCTCGCATCCCGGGCGCGATGAGAGGGGGAGATGGACCCAAGCCGGCGGGACTGGCACCATGACATTCGCCGGCTTCGTGGTGGCGCTGGTGATAGGGGCGATCCCAGGAGTCCGCGGGCCGGGGCAGGTCTCCGCCAGCCTCCCGGCCGCCCGCGCCCCACAGCCCCCCGCCGGCTGCCCCGCCGGGGGCTTCCCTGCGGCCCAACGCCCCTGGGCACCGGCGGCGCCCGCTCTGCCGCGGCGAGGGGCGACCCGGCTGCGTCCCCGGGGCCGGCCGGGGCGCGGCGGAGCGCGGCCGCGCTGACTGCGAGAGAGGTAAGAGGGGAAGGGGCGAGTTCGAGGCAGGGGATGGCGGCGGAGCGGAGCGGGAGAGTGCGAGGGGCTGCGGGACGCGGGGGGAGACAGACACTGAGAGAACCTTGGCCGGGCGGCGGCGTTCTCCCATACCGTACCCGGTTCCCTGCCGCGGGAGGGAACGGGGAACGAGGGGATGGACACCGTCTGCCAAAGTGACAGCCAAAGCTGTTCGCAGAGGAGAGTTAAACTCGTGCATCAGAGGATGCAGCGGAAAGACGAAGGTCCCGCCTGGGTTTATTCCGCCGGTATTCTAATACTGGGTAGGTGAACAGCGTTTCGTAGCTGTGCCATAAGCATTCAGTGGGCTCAGTTTGCCAAGGCTGGCTGGCATTCCTTTTTTGTAACTGGGTTCACTTACCGGGAAGGTATTTGGTTTACAGAAGTGAAGTGGCAGAAAGAGAAATAGAAGGATACTGGCTCCAAAGATGAACTGTTTACACAGTATGACTTTCCTTGCCCCCCCCCCCATCTTAGGATAATGGGGTTCACAAGTTAGTATTGGTGCTCAACAACATCCGTGAGTTGAGCCAAGAGGCTTGTGCTCCCCTCACACACTCCCAGCTGAACTCCCACTGACTTCAGTGGAAGTTTTCAGTGTGTAAGGACTGAACAGCAATTTCAGCATCCAGCTCTTGATCAGCTTTACATTTCATCAGTGTTGGCATTAAATAAATTGATGTACAGTCTGGTTTTGAATGACTTCACATTTTCTCCCACAGTGCTCTGGTATTATCTTCTACCTAAATAAGAATTGTGTCCTATCTATAGCTATACTAAACATGATCAAAAGTAATTTTTGAAATTAAAATGAAAATTCCCTGCTTCATTGTCCTTCCTTTTACATCTTTTCTAATCACACAAAATCAGCAAGGAGGTTGATCATTAATATTACTTTTTTGTTTGTTGTGAAAGCTGACTTTGGGTTGTGAGGGTTTTTTAAAATTAATTTACTTTCAGATGACTGAAAAGGATTCTTATCCTTCTCTTCCAACAGTACCCATAGAAGGTGTGTGAAAAAAAAGCTAGTTTGAGCAATTACACGCATTGGTACAAAATACCCCATTGAAGAGGATATGGAGGCACCACGGTCCCTATTGATCATTTACACATCAAAAAAATGCAGCTTCCAAAGCTGTGTTCCAAGTCAAATGCACTCCTTCAGGATGACAGAATCATGTTATGCAGTACAGATGTTTCCCTGGGAAGAATACCAGGCAGCTGTTGGCATGAAGGAGAGAACAGATACCTTTTTTTCACAGATGAAAAAAAACCCTAGAAGACTTCATGCCCTTTAACTGATCTCACTTTCAGAGAGGGTATACCACAGTTGCTTCTCTAATTTAGCCCAGCATATTAATAGTTTTTTTTAGAATTCTTCAGTCTGGTTCCCAAAATACTTTATGAGAACTTAGTCTAATATAATAGTGAAGAACACAGCAGTTTATTGCTAAGAACCCAATCTTGCACTTAGTAAAGTAAGTATCAGAAACCCCTATAAGTTCAGCATGAAGGGGATTTAAGCAAAAAAAAAAAACCACTAAAAATACTACATGATTTGGGTTTAGCTGTGTGTCTCCAGTCTTTTCAGAATGCTGTTTTGTTCCCCCAGAAAAAGGAAATCCAGGTTGGCCCCTGCTAAGAGGGAAGACACAGCTACTGAACAATAGCCAATACTTTGTAGTGGACAGATCATCTGCTCCTGTTGGACTTGGTGGTAAACTCCAGTGGCATCACCAGGGCCAATGTCTGTCCAAAAGCCTCCATGGGGGCAAGATGAAAGAATGAGAGAATTTGTGAGATGGCTTAAGGTGGAACATGGACACAAATCAAACCATTTGTCCAGAAATAAAAGATTACAGTAACATTCCCCCTGAAGTATGTTCCTTTCTTACAAGAGGCAAAAAGATGCCAGTGAGGCAATGTCATGATGTGGTTGTAGCTAGAGAGGGACAGACTGCTCAGAGAGAAACTCACTGCACCTCTTGCTTTAGTACCTAAGGAAGCCTATACTCATTGTTAGGCACCTGCCATAACTGAATACAATACCATATTCAAAGGCTTAGGCTTACCTGTAAATCTCTGGGTTTTTCTAGCTTAAATATTATGACTTATCTGCAAAGTTAATTGGCTAAACTTTGTGCATGTGCATATATTAACTGTTTTATGTTTAAACAGTAACAATGCATTTTTTTAAGTGCCTTTGCAATTATACTGTACAGTACTAGACTAAAATCAGTTTTACTGTTTAAAATAATAGGTTTTGGTGTTTCATTTCCTTCTTTCTAAAAATATCTGGGTAACATTACTTATTCATGCCTTGAAAGCAAGTAAAAAATTACAAATATATATAAATTATCATGATTAACCAAGGATGCCAGAGAGGGCAATAAATGAATATGAGCATGCTCTCTACACAGAGCCTGTATAAATCCACCAGAATTTAGTATTTTAGTTGCTGCTAATAACAACTTACCTGTGGTGTACTCAGGTTCCAAGAACGAGGCCTGTCTCAGCACCTGGGAGCAGCTGCTGCCACACAATGTTTGTGTGGCACATAGCTACAGTTTTGTGCATATGTTGTCCATGCTATGCTGTTACACATCTAATTTAAAGCACTTTGAATCAAGTGGGTTAATTATTTGCTTTTCTATTATGAAGAGGGACCAATACAAAAGAGGGCAAGTGCCTTTGTCAGAGGTCAGTGGCAGAACTGGAAATAAAGTACACATCTCCAGGAAGGCCTGACTTTAGAACCTTTTCATTAAAATTGCTTTTATCAAAAGGTGATTCCACTAACGTCAATCAAATAAAGGTTCACTAAACTTTTGTGAGAGAAGAATCAAGCCTCAGGCTCATAATTTAAAGACTAGATTTTTATCCCTACCTGTTATACTATAGTCCAAGCAGTTGATGGAATGACTTTTGGGACTTTGTGGTTTTTTTTTTAATAGCTTATGATTAGAACTGAAACATGAATGTCCATACTTTCCTTTTAAGAAGCAGCTCCTCTGGAACCATTCTTGCCAGAGCTGCACTGGGTGAGACCCCTCATTTTCTCCAGCTCTGCCCACATAAGACAACTGCAGTCCTTCAGAGCCAGTTACATTGCTCAGTTTCAGTTTAGATTCTCAGAGCCTTAAACCATTGATTGCTGACATGATGGATCTCAGTGCTGCAGAGGAACCAACGCAGCACATTACATACTCAGTGTATACAATATTTATGAAAGTTCTAATATAAGAATCCTTGAGTATGCAATACTGCTACTGATCCTCAAGACAGTTCTTAAAAAGTAGTTCTGCTGGAGGTGCCCTTTTTCAAGGTTAAAATACCTGGAGAAAATAATTGTAATTTTAGACTAACAGCAGTGGTCAGGAAAGTGATAGACAACAGCATTTATTGATAACAGTGAGCACCATGCATAATTTTGCTGAAGTTAACAGCATTAATTTGTTTAATTTTAGTCAGGCCTGATCCTGGAAGGGAAGTTTCCATTGATTTGAACCGATGTTAAGTTTTACCTGTGCTACATGCAGCTTTTTACAAGTACCTCATACAAACCAGTGAATTAGTTTTATTGTGAAACTGGGATAGACTCTTTTATATGTATTATGGATCATCCCCATGTATTCTAAATACTACAAGTAACAGCGTGATCCCATGGGATAGAGCATGCATCACTGGGAAACCCTCACACTTGATGTCAATTTGGACTAACCTAATTGACTCCAAGACAACAGAGATGAATTGTTAGTGCAGGGCCTTTCTGTAGCACTATTCCACATTGGAATACATTGACCATTAGGGCAGAAATAAAAGTATGTTTTTTTACAGATTTCCAAAATTGAAATGACTTCTTTTGTTTTGCTTTAAATCTGCCATTTCAGAGCACACTGCACCAGGGTGGAAGGCACAGGCAATTTTTACTTATGATTCCTATTTTCCCATCCTACATTTACAGTGAAATTGCAAACCTTTGGTCAGTTGTTTACCAAGAAATTATGGCACACCTTTAGCCAACATCATAAACACTACTGCTGCAGCACTAACACATACAGCAGAAATGGAAGTGATTCCTATCCTATTTGCAATTTGGCTACATAGTAATGATGCTCATTCCCAGTGAAACATAAAATATAAAACAGGGTTTGAAGTTACCCAGCAACTCCACACATGAGAACGTATAGGAAAAGAGGCCAAGCACAACAGTGCAATTCCTTTGAATCTCTTCTGCTTTTCTGAGTTAATTAAAAGTTGGCTGGGTGGTTTTCCTCTCCCTGTTTTCCTGAGTGTCTCATCTTCAGCCTATATGGCAGGTGTTCTGGAGCAAGTCTCAGCAGCACCCACTGGATACCCTTACTTCCTTGCATTTGCAAGTATAACTTAATCTCCTTTCAACAGTGATAGCAGATAGGAAAGACTCTGACTTGGGCAGATACCAGGGCAAGTAAAATTACCAGACTGTATGTAAACAACAGGAATTGACTGTCAGTAACCTCAGCTAAAACAAAATTACAGTAAATGCATTGATACTTTCTGAGTATTTACACTCATTTTTACAAATGAAGGAGTTTCTGTCAAGACAGCAGATTGTATTTTTTAATAACAGGTTGAATTAAGTCTGTCCTAAGACCACAGTGTCTAGAGCTGTCTCATAGGCCTGCTTTGTGTCCTGTGCTCTTGTTTCTAACTACTGTGGGGTCATGTCACCTCTCCTCATCCTCCCTCTTCCTAACCAGTGCTGAGGAGGCCAGATCCATGGGCAGGATCCTGGTCCTGCTGTTCCCTGTTGTTGAGCTTTGTGTTGAGGCAGGGTAGGTTTGACAAGCAGAGGTCTGACACCATATTGAACTGGTGGAGAGCAGAAAGAGTAGATACTACTGCATTAGCTCTACTCCCAATAGGTTTAGTTTTCTTCAGCAACTAAAAGAGCTGAAAAATTATAGCTTAAAAATCTAAGATGCTACTATACCTCTGACTCCAGAAACCTAGAGCTTCCAGTGCATACACTTAAGCCAGACATGTTTTGTAAGAGGGAATGCAGACGCTCCTCTGCAAAGTTGTTGTGCTCCAGGGGCAGCACAGAGGAAGCCCCTGAGGCGCGCGTTCGGGTGCCTGGGATGTTACATTGGAACAGCAGTACACTTAACCAGTGAAAATAAGAATTAACCTGTATCCTTTCAATCATGGTAAATATTAGGTTTTTTGCTTCCTATGAAGTGAAAAAGTGTTTCCTGGCAATTTTACAATGCAAACACTGACTAGCTTGCAATTAAAATATTAACACATAAAGAGATAGTTGGTAATACAGCATAAACACACACGATGGCAGATCATGTTGTTATCCTGCAGTTCCCTAGGATCAATGTACACGGGAAACACAGAGCTGTGTTTCATCATGAAGAAAGAGTTTTATATACTGGAAAGAAAAACTAAGCTACTGTAATGAAAGTCTTGATGTTGAGGTTCTGTTTTATGAGGTATCACTATTGTAACTAATGTATCTCTTGATCTGGTAATATAACTACCAGGTGTCTGAATGCCACAACATTTTGAGTAAACAACAGAGAAATAATTTCCTCATTAGTACCTTTGACATGTTTGCTACATAATTATGACTTGGTCATATGACAGAGGTTGATACATACTTCAAAGTACATATACATTATATGGCAGGTTTAATATTAGCTACATGTTAAAATAGGCTTTCTTTTTATTTCTTTCTAGAATAACTTATCAGGTGAAAATCAAGAATATTTAAAATTGGTTAAAAAATTACCTTTAGCAATCCTCTCGTGTGTTTTGCTGTGTGTACATGACTAAGTTCTTCCACCACTGTCATTGGGAAATCTGTAAATACAGAAAGAGGAGTGAGCCAAATTCTGCCATGGAGACTTTAGAAGAAAATTTTATTCTTCAAGTACTCCCTTATTCAAATATTTGAATAGAAACATTGTGTAATGTGTACTCAGGAAGCACTGTATTGATTTCAGTAGGTGTCATGCAGCACTGTAAGCAATCATGCACTAAAATAAACTTATTTTTGGAGATGACATCTTCAAACTCGCTTTCTGGTATGTCAGGAATCACTTTGCTATGAGTGCAGTTGATGTTTCAAGTGAAAATAATAGTCTATAGAAAAGTCTGGTGAAGAGCAGAAATAAACAGAATTCCAAACTCTGTCTGTCTGTGACACATATAGAAAAACATAAAGAGAAAAATTTTAAAGACAGATAAATGATGTGCAACATGTCTACAGTATAGTTATATTTGACTCAGTAATAATCCTCTCTCAGGAATGATAGCTCACTCTGTAACATGAGTCAAATAAATGTTGTTTGTAATTTACTTGCACAGTAAGTTACTGCTGAGAAGGTAAATAGGAGGCAAAAGGAACACGCCAAGCCAAACATGAGGTTAATTAATTCCTTGAGTTATTTGGCAGTTGTTTGGCTTTGTGGTTTTATAAAATACACAGAACTAAACCCAGGACTGAAGCTGAGAAGAAAAAGTGGATCTACATATTATTATTATTATTATTATTTACACAAAGATGAACACAGAGACAGTGAAATGCAGGCACAAACACTGACTGTCTTCATCCCATTGCTAAACTGCAAACTGGATGATGGTGTAGCTTCTAAGTAGATCACAGAACAGAAGCAGATGGATTAACTGGGATTTCAGGCAATACAAATTCATATATCTGGGCTGTGTTTGATAATTTAACAGATATGTTTCTTGTTGAATTACTGCTCTGTCATGATTTTTTCTGTTTCTGTGTAGTTATCCCTATGACCAGCTTTTTCCCACCTTTGCCAAGGGTACTTGGCTATCTTCAACAGTAGATGCATCAGACATCTCAAGTAAAACTACTGCAATACAAAAATTCAAAATCTGCTAATTTTATTAGATTTCTGTGCTCTGTAGCTCTCAAGAAGCACTCTTTTCCCTCTCCACTTCTTTCAGACAATTCCTTATGGTTTTTAGCTTGCTTTGTCTGAGAGTTTGGTAAAGACCTCTCATGAATTAATAGAACTACATGCAGTGTTTTTCTGTCTGAGAAAAGTATGAACAAATGCATTCTTTGGCTAAAATAACTGCTGTCATCTATGACACACATAATGTAACATGGGTCAGAGCAAAAGCTATGCAGTCCATGTGGTTATTTTCTGATTCCCTTAAGGTCAATGGAATTTTATGAAAGATAAAAGTATAGCATATTTTATACAAATATATATACATATATATATATATACACATATATATATATGTATATATATTTATATATATATACATTCATATATATGTTTTGCTCCTTTGGGTAGAGGAAATCACATTTCAATAATTATGTGTGTATAAATACTTTGTTAGATCTTCAAGTTATAGCATCAGAAGGATCAGAAATATGATGTAGTTTCAGTATGGGAAGAATAATGCTTTCCTCATGTGCAAAAAGGGTTCTGTGAATTTGTGTATCATTGTATGAGAATGTTAGGTGTGCCAGAATGTTTCTTGGAAACAGCTCAGTATCCATGAAACAAGAACTCAGGGAAAATGAGGTTCAGAGTCTTTTGTGTGGGATGCAATTAACTGAGCAAGAGTATCTTGGAGGTGTAATTGTTTTATTTTTAATTTTTGGTAACTAGGGTCAGTGAGACTCCGGGGAGGCAAGAATGAGTTTGAAGGTACAGTGGAGGTTTATTTCAATGGAATCTGGGGAACAATCTGTGGGAGCCATTGGGACAATAATGATGCAACAGTTGTATGTCGACAGCTTGCACTTGGGTAAGTTTCAGTTCGAGTAAAAATCAATCAACTCATTTTCATGATGTTTCAGTATAAAGGACAATCTGCTTTGTAAATCCTGAGGGCTTTTTGTGTTTGATGATTGCTTTTTCTGTTTGAAAGTGTTTGAATGCTGAAGTTGATCTTCCCAGAATACTTTGCTGGCTTCAGCTGCATTACACTTCAAAGAGGAAATCAGTATTTCCTCAGAAAGCTAAAGATAGAACCTGCACAGGAGCAGACTGTGGCAAATGCTTTGCTTTCAAAGTGAAATGTGTGAATGGGGCAGCAAGCTTCAACAAACTGCTCTACTGGACATGTGGGAGATGCCCACAGGGACAGAATTACGTGGTCCAATCCTGATCGCACACATCTAAGTGTCAATTAACAGCTCCAGTGAGGTTATTGAATCTATAACAATGTAAATGTGGCCAGGATTAGACTCTACATGGGCTCCTAATCACAGGAAAATTCCTAATTCTCAGGGGCAAGGGGTTATCCTAGTAATCACCCATTGTAGTATGGCAAATGACACCTGGAACTCATCCTACATTTTTGGCAAATGGCAACACTTCAGAGCTACAGCCATACTGGATAGGCTGAAAATCCCTGCACTGTCCTTGCTGACCACTGCTTCCCACTGCTGCCAGAATGGAGTTAATCAACAGCACCCTTTAGCATAATTTGGCTGCCTTCATTGCCTTTCTAACATTTCTTTCACTCACATACCGAAGCACGGGTTTTGCTTGCTACAAGCAGTAAGGGGCTTTTATAGCAGACTTGCACTGTGACATTCCTAATGATTAATCCACTTTTTAAGACTGCTAGCCAGAACTAAATCTAAGCTGATTTATAATGTTCAATACTAATCTGGACACACCATGCCAACTTATAGAAATATAAGGATTAGATGAGATAAAAGTTCAGCCATCTGGAGGCTGTGATTTTGCTTATGACTTCAGCTGTCTACGTGCAGTGGCTCCTTCCCTCATTTTCATGTGAGTCCTATCTGCTTTCTATACCCTGAACATTTCAGCTGAACGAGGCCACTGCTAGCAAAAGTAGTTCAGCAATACGGGTGAATGGTTTTGTCTTTTCAACAGAAATGGCTCAAAGCTGAACCCAGGCCAAAAAAGCCTCAAGCAAATAGTAGCTAAAACTTTGAGCTGTCTTGAATGTTTCACAGAAATTTGGATCTCTATACCAACCCACAAGGTACTACTGGTGCTTTTCAGGTGCTCCATCTATCTGTTCCTTCGATATCACCATATCTGGGCTTTGTTTTAACTTCATTGTGCTTTGCAAGGAAGAGAAGATGGCTCTATAAGTGTTGCTGTAGATTCAGCATGAGAAGGAAAGAGAGCTGTTTATAAAATGTTCTGGGTGGATGGGAATGGCTGAATTGAGAAAAATGGATGGGGGCCTGATCTGATGGGATGTGGGGTGGTTGCAGTGCCCCATCATCACAGCCACAATACATGGCATTTATGGGCCAAGCATGGTATGTCTTCATGGAGTAAAGGACAGAATAAGGAAGAAAGACCTGGTGGCATTACCCCTCCTGGGACTGTAACTGCAGTGGGCTGGTACTGTAGATTCACCTATGGACTGTGGAGTCTGTGTTGATTTCTGTAGTTAAGAACTGGGAGAGCAGGAATGTAGCCGCTCTGCAGCAACACAGTCATTGTACTAAAATATCCCACAACAAAATGGTGAGAACTGGGTCACATCTGTTACTTTTCTTTGTGCAGAAGACAATGGCGAAACTGTATGAAAATGTGATGAATTTACACTACTGAAAAAAGCCCTTTCTTTTCTACTCCAAGATTTATATTTGAGAAAATGTTCCCTCTTCCCTTCCTCCCACTCTGACACCCTATCCTGATTATTTTTACAGGGAAAAAGGTACAGCAAAACACATACCCTTTTCTGGATTAGGCCTTATTCCTGTTTTCTGGAGTGAAGTGCGTTGTCGTGGTGATGAAGAAAATATACTGTTATGTGAAAAAGACACCTGGCAAGATGGGACATGTCCTCAAAAAATGGCAGCTGCTGTCACATGTAGCTCCTCCCTGGGTAAAAAAAATACATATGTTTTTATCAAGTCCTTGTTTTATTTAAGTAGAAGTTGTAATAACTCCAATAATAAAATTAGAAAAAGTGTTAAGATTTCTTGGAACAGATTATACAGATTTAATAATTGCATCATTATTGGCTCCAAATACCTCAAGCAGCACCTAGCTTACTTAACAACTTTTTACCTTTCCATAATTAAAAACAAATTGCTTCTTTCAGATGTAGGTTGTGAGAAAGAGTAAAGTAGCAAGAATCTCTGTCTGTAAAATGAGGATTTTTCCCTCCTTTTTTAAAAATGTCACTTAGGAAAACAAGTATCATTAATGTTTTTAAGATATCTGATATTATTTTAATCAATATGCTAACCAAATGGGTAGGCATGCCATCAGATTTGAGATAGTGCTGCCTCGAGTGGAGCTGGGCTGGCAGTGCTGGGGAGCTGGCAATGCCAGTCTCTTCAGCTGAAATGAAAACGTGGCTGCAGCCAGTTCTGTGCTGCCTTTCTTCTCCTACTAATGTTTTTAAGTGGCTTTTCAAAGAAAATTTTGGTCTTAGAAAACTCTTGAATAGAGGGAAGGAAGGATCTTTTCGAGCTAGGAGACAAATTAAATAATGAAAACAAGAGAGTTTTTGCCTAAAGAAACTGAAAATTATAAATGCTTTCACATTTTTCAGGTTCTATTTCAAATAGCCTTTAAAAATATTTATACTGCCCCCACCCCCCCATATTAGTGACACTCCAATATGAAATTGGAGAAATGACCTCAGTATTGTTGTTTTGGGGTTTTTTTTTAATAACCAAAGATTCCATAGTAGCATTAATTGGTTGGAGAGTTACATAAATACTACTCAAACTTAAATAACTGGGATGTTAGATATGGTGGAACTTTAAAATAACCTTGTTCATATTACAGCAATTATGGGGTTTTATATGGCTTTAAACTGTTTCCATTGTTATAAAGTTATTTAGCAGTGATGCTTTCAAGAAAGTTTCTTGGTTCACCAGAAGAGAGCTACTGATTTTAAAAGACTGGAAGCAAGCAGGGAACAATACTTGCACAATTCAACTGAGACTCCACTGCTCAAAGAGATTTCAAAGAGATTTCACTGTTCTGACTGCATTTTCTAATGGAACGAGAAAACCCAAGGATTCATTTCTGTGTCCATCACTTAATTTTTCCCTCTTACTTCAGATTTTACCCGATTTTGCTCTTGTGGAAAAGTAGCTCTACTGACTGATTCAGTATTTGGCCTTAGAACACTAAGTGTCTGTGAATGCTGTGATACTTAGGTAATTCAAGATCAGTAGGGTTACTTGTATGTGTAAGCTTTTTCAGCTACTGAAAGTGGAGCATAAAGGAACTCACTTTACTGTCAGGTTTTCCATCTAGTAGAAAAAAGAAAATGAGGCTCTTGAGTGATGTCAGAGAAACTATCAGAGAAAGCCATCTTCCTCCCTCTTTACTATCAGAATGATATTTTAGGACATAATGACCTGTTCTATATCCTGTTTTTTCTCCCAGGCCCTGTCTTCACTCCGATCCGGCTGGCTGGTGGGAGCAATGCCCATGAAGGAAGAGTGGAAGTCTACCATGGTGGCCAGTGGGGCACAGTCTGTGATGACCAATGGGACGATGCAGACGCTGAAGTTGTCTGTCGGCAGCTCGGCCTTGGGTTTGTTTTTCTACAAGTTTGCTATTCCAGCAGCAAAGCAGGAGAGTTATCAGACCCTCAGCTGAAGCTAGGAGAAGCGTAATTGTAAAAAAAAAAAAGCTCCTTTAAAATCATACTAATATACTTTGGAGCAGTAACCAAGTTTATTTATAGAAGATTCAGGTACAGTGACATCAATTTCAGTTCCCTGGAACCAGTTTTCAGTGTCATATGATAGGGCGAATTTTGTCTGGCCAGACAGATGAAGAATGTCTCAGAATAAATGTTAACTTTATAGTGAAAACTCACTATAATTCCTGTAAAGTTTCAATCCAAACCACCTGTAGGCAAAGAAATTTTTGACTGTTCAAATCCTTACAATCCATTTTACTGCATTTTGACAGCCTCCTGGCTTTGGCACAAGAACTCTGCTTAGTCAGGAAGGATATGTTTCTTGGCATGCTTGTGAGATTTGTTTAAAACACGCATCTCTGAAGATTGTCAGTTTGCATATACTGAGCCAGAGACCTGTTTGAAGTTTTGACAGTTAACCTTGTCAGTGATTCTGTCTGAACTAAGCATGGTCCGAAATACAGCTACAGCAGCAGAAAGGGATTTTCTTGATTCACTTTCTTAAAAGCCAGGGGGGATTTTGATACCCCACAGAAGATAAGTACTGGTATTTGCAGAAAATGATGCAGAGGTGGGAGACTAAGAGGAAAACTGCTGGACCAGAGAGGAAGGAGATGAGGACAATTGGGATGGAAGGCCAGGAGGGTTGAAGAGGGAAAGCACTAGGAGCAAGAAGCAGAGAAGATGCTGGGTTGTATCCCATGCAGGAGAAGGGGATTATGTCTGAGACAGACTGGATGAGAACTAAGCAGGTGACTGCAGAGGAGACTGGAACAGAGATTGCCTGTTCAAGCCTGCTGGGACTACAATGAAGTGAATTGAAGGTACAAAGTTCTGTGGCATTAATGGGTGATTCCCAGAGTGTACTTGTGTTGTGACACAAGTCACAGGCCTTGGGCTGCCCATGCCACCCAGATTAGCTCAGAAGGATGAGAACTGTGGACTAGTTAAAAATATTGTAGATCTCCTGCTGAGCCAACATAGGAACGAATATGCTTCTCTGACATCAGATTTTTTTTTCCCCAGCTTATTTTATGTTGTATTTCTATATTCCTGTACATTTTCAATTGGGAATACCTAATGGAAAGTCTATCTTCTTGCAGGCTTTTCTTGCTTTTGAATTGGGCTGCTATTAAGAGGTTTGGGGAGTTACAAAGCCCTGATTTGCATTTCTGTATACTAATGACAAGTGTAATGCTCTTAGCCTGCCTCCTTCCTGACGACACTCAAACTTTTTATTACTTATATTTAATCATCACAACCTGCACAAACTGATGCTTCTAATTTGATTTGTTTTTCTGAGTAAATCAATTGTATTAAGATGGTGCTAAACCTGCTAAGTCTTTTTGAAATATCTTTAGAGATTTACAGAATTTCTCAAGTAAGCAAGATGTTACAACAAACATGCTAATTAATATGAAGTGAAATCAACTTACCAACAGTGGCAGTAGACCAGTTCTGAAGTACTAAAAATAATCCAAATTTGCATACTGTTAATCCATCTGGAAACATGCCAGAAATTGTAAAAGTAAAGCTTCTCAGTAAGTAGCTTCCCACACCCCTTCAACTTTTCTGTAGCACTCCTGCAAAACTCCAGAATATGAAGCTACCATTAATAGATGGAAAATAATGGTATTTCGTTTTGTAAAGAATTTTTGCTTGACAGAAATTCCCCTGGTTATAATGATGGGATGTATTGTCTCTGCCTAACTCCAGAGACTCTTACTGGAATATGGTATAAATTGTAAAAACATTCAGAGCAGTCCATCATTATCTCTGATTTCAGCCAGCTGAATAAGAGTGAATAAGGATTTTTTCCTTAATATTTTCTATACATTTCTGCTGGCATTTTTATCAGATACACTGGAAAAACAAGATTTTTTTTTAGTTAATTTAAACTAATGCTTTAGATAGGTAAATCATTACAGTCCAAACTTTAGACATTTCAATCTTGCCATTTCAAACTAGACTGAATATAGGAACAGAGAAAACGTTGAGTGGAAAGAAACCAAACCATGGCAAACATTTATATATGAAAGACATGATATTTTAAATAGAATTGGAAAAATCCTGATAGATGATAAAGGGTTAAACACTGCATAATTTCTGTAATTCTAAAACAATGGAGTGTTTTCAATCAACGTATTTTTTGTGCTCAAAATCCATTCTGCTGACAGAGAAAATACCCCATTACAAGGCGAGTCATTGGTCTGCTTCCTGTTCTTATTTCTATTGCTGATGGGTGATATGACACTTGTCAAGCCACTTAAGATCTCTTTGCTGTGGTTTCCATGGGACTGAATAGGGAACAATCACATTTATCAGGGTATTTGAGGAGAACAGGTGAAAGTCACCTTAGAAATATATATTGGATTATTTTTACTATATATAGATATTAAATGAGTATTGAAATTAGAATCCTCATACCCAAGCTGTTAATCTGTAATCTCTCCTAGGAAAGTTGAAAGTCAAAGACACAGGAAAGGAAAATCTTCAGCTTGCTTCCTTCTGACTGGGTGTTCCTTGCATTTCTACAGGGGTGTTGCCAAGGCATGGAGCCAGGCTTACTTTGGAGAAGGCTCTGGCCCCGTGCTGCTGGATGAAGTACAGTGCACGGGAAATGAACTCTCGATAGAACAGTGCCCAAAAAGTTCCTGGCGAGAACACAACTGTGGCCACAAAGAAGATGCTGGTGTTTCCTGCACACCTCTCACAGGTATTCCAGTCATCAATCATGACAGGAAAAAATGAGACAGAGTTCACAGCTCTGGAAACAACTTCGAAAGTTTGCAGACTTGCAGAGGCACAAAGCCAAACCGGGTGCAGTAGAGGCAATATTACTGATTTTGCTTTAGAATTACGAGATGTAAGAAACACTGTTTTGTTTTTGTTTTCCCTTGTTACGGGCACAGATGGTGCACTGCGGCTCACAGGTGGGAAGGGCAGTCACGAGGGCCGCCTGGAGGTCTATCACACAGGGCAGTGGGGCACGGTCTGTGATGACGGCTGGACGGAGCTGAACACGCAGGTGGTTTGCTGGCAGCTGGGATTTAAGTAAGATTACTTGATATTGGATATCTGACACTGTGACTTCAGCATGATGACAAACAGTTACATGAACCCTACCTGGACCCTATTTTAAGAGTCTGCTTTTTAGTATTAGTTTAGTGCTTCAAAGAAACAAGTTAAAATCCATTAAAGCCTGATTTCCTCCGTTTCGCAGAGGTATGTAGGCCTTAGTTTGGGTAGAAAAACCTTCAACAAGCGTGATTTAGCAGCCTTTATTCACTGAGTTCTTCCAATTCTCTTTTTTACTGAGATCAATGCATGTGCTATAGAGAACTGATTTTGATTCTATTTTCCCTATAAAAGGTTGTTTCTTCTAAATCTTTGCTTGTTGTACAGTCATTAATGAGAGAAATTTTCAAGGTGTAAGTACTTCTGCACTACCTCAGAAGATCCCACAGCCTGGCCCTGGAACAGTTATATATTGAAACATTTTTTAGAAAAATCCCATTTGTTTTATGGTTCAGTCTTCCCTACTTTTCCTACTGATCTCTGGCTACAAAGATACACTCTCAGTAGGTGACTGTTTTCTTGCCTTCAAACTGTAACAGCTGACATTCAAAAAAGTATTTTGTCTCAGACTGTGACATTTAAATGTATACAGAATACTAAGAACATGCTTAAAGCCTCAGAGTCATTGAGCCAGCCATATGCTTGGTTGAAGAGCAGCCTTAATAAAAGGCATTACATTCTTAAGTTTGTACTAATGTAACAGTAATTCTTTAAAAAAAAAAAAAACCCATTACTGAAGAGGCAGCATATGGTGCTCTCATTGAATTTAATGCTAACTGAACCTGCTTACAGAGAATACTTAAAAAATCTTTATTTCCTCAGGAATATCACTTTCTTTTCCCATGCTTAAGTATCATGTGTCCTCTGATCACTGTGGACCAAAACATACCTCTGTGTTGTGCAGGTATGGAAAAAGTGCAGGTATGGAAAAACAGAGCTACACAGAAGGAATCTCTGGGCCCATCTGGTTGGATGATGTGATCTGCTCTGGGAAGGAGACAAACCTTCTGCAGTGCTCCCGGCGGGAGTGGGGGAAGCATGACTGCAACCATCAGGAGGATGTCAGACTCATCTGCCACCCAGAAAACGACAGCCACAAGCGCTCACTTGGTGAGGAAGCTCTTTGCTAAAGTCACAGTATGAGTATTGCTGTGGATACAGATCCAACCAAAGTACAGGATAATTAAGGATTCTCAAAATCCTAGTATTTGTCAGATAGGTGCAAAGAAAGAACAGGAAGGGAAAAAACCCTAACTTTTCTCCTGAAGATCACAGGAAGTAGTCAGGTTTTGTTTAGAATGTAAGCATCCAGAACATAAAACCTCAACCCAGATTTGCAAGGTAACAAAGTCACATTGCAGAGATGCTGTTGTCTCAGTCTCCACTAGATTTTGAACCTATTCAGCACTTTCTGATGGTTTACCTAATTTCACTTGGCGCTTCTCAACCTCCAAGTAATGCCTGGTGTCAAATGCTGGAGACATACCTGAGTACTGAGGAATACAAATCAATAGTACATCCTCCTATGGCTTTGCATTCAGACAATCCAAAACAAGGGATATAGAGAAGATGGGAAGTTCAGAGATAGCAAGGAGGTAGGATGAGAAGCATGAAATTATTTCTGTGTTACTATTGCCTATCATTTATATTGTGTCTGGGTGAATGGGCCCCACTCGCTGACCAGGAGAGAATGACACTACACAACCAGATAAAGGAGTTAGTTCCAATGTCAAAGGCCTACAAACTTGTATGAAAATAAAGAGAATAAAAAGACTGATAAGAAATGATAGAAAAATACCAATTACACAGTGGTAAAAATATAAACACAATAAAATAGAAACAAATAAATTTCAAAGATTTCTAAATCCACATGCAGATAATTAAACAATAATTCTTGCTATGAGATATGTGCAGTAGAAACTACAGGGGAACAATGAGTTGCACAGCAATTCTGAAAAAGTTTCATTTTTACAATTTGCTACATGTGTAGCTTGTCAGTATGTAGCCTTTTAGAAAATTGCTGCCAATGCCGTTTAGCTTACCAAAGATTATTTCACTTGAATTTGACATTGGCATTATATGCCTGTTTCCTTGAAATCACAGACTGAAGGTTTATCCCACACACTACAACATGGTTTTACTGCACAATGCTGCTACTTGTTATAACAACATCCAGCACTTCCACATGTATTTTTGAGTGTCTCCCTCTTTACAGGCTTATTTTATATAGCCCTTTCACCATCCAGTGAATGTTTTGTGTTGCAGTACATATATCAAATCCTATTTGTTAGAAAGAATTTTCTCAAACCAAAAATAACAGGAATTCAATCCATGACTGCTGTCTTTACAGATGCAAACCATCTGTGCCACTTTGCTCAAATTCCTATAAAATATCTCTGCTGAAGGAGTCTGGTTCAGTTAAATACATCCATATGGTAACATTCTCACATCCCCACTACCAGAATGCTGTATTAATTTTGTGCTCATAAATATATATGTTTTCTAAACCACAAGAAGATGAGATAACAATAAAATATTACCCAAACAATAAATAAATAACAATAAAATATTAGTAGTATTCCATGCCTCTATTTGGTTAATAGAAGTATAATTCTCACCTGAGTTGTATTCTTCCAGAACATTTCAGTTCAACAAGAAAATAAGAGTTTATCTGACATTTCTGAGGAGATTTCTGATTGGAAAGCAGACAAAGTGTTGTTACCATTTACTTCCTAGCATTTGAAAAAGCATTTTTTTCCTGTAAGGATAAATTCAGTGGGGAAAAAAAAAAAAAAAAAAGAGAAATTAGTAGATGATAGGACTTAAGAAAACACAGATATTATGGAGCACTAAAAAGGAGATATACTACAATAATGACATTTGTTCAGTAAGATCATGACAGCGTAAGTAAACAGAATGTTGGTGAAGCTAATCCATGTAACTGTCCAGACAGTATGAACTCCAACACAACATGCTTTAAATGACATTGGAGGCAAACATACTTGGATTTTATCTTTAAGTATTTCCCCATTCATTTAATGACTTAGGCCAGATTTAACTAGTGCTGGCCAGATTCATGTTTGGTATACAGAAGTTATGTATACCTAAAACTAATCTGAATTAAATATCAAATGCAACTACCTCAAAATACTGCTTTAAGAGTGAAATTAAGTAGTTTCTCATCCTCACATATTTAGAAAAGATTGGGAACAGGTTAGAAGAATGAGGAAGAGTCTTTTTCATTATTCTAAAAAGCAACTGTCATGAGTATATTAGAGATTATAAAGTATGCTATACAAAAAGATTGAGAAGGTGATCCTCCCTTGAACATGACAAAGAGGCCACAGAGGAATTCATAACTGTTTTAAGGGTGTTTGCATTGCTTGCAGGCTATAGAGGCATTTTAGAGTAAGTAAGAATTAAGCATGTACTTTGCCTAATGAGTCAAAACTTAACTAGAGACCAAGCACTGCGGAAACCATTATCAACTAAGTCTGACTAATCCACATAAGTGAAATTTCATATTATGAATGCATCTGAATAAACAATTTAAATCGCTAGAAAAATAATGTAAAGTAACACACTGCAGAACAATGTGCATAGTGATAAGGAATACTTGAAGTTCAACACAATGCTGCACTATTTTTGCTAAGACAGTGGTTAGAAGGAGCAGCAGCAACCAGTTTGAGAATGGATTTATGGACTGAGATACAGTTACATTCACCTATAAAGTGTATGTAAGGAAAATCTGTCCAGCTTGTACGGATGTTGTATCAAAGGTATCTCAGGTGTTTTCTACCATTTGTATAGAACTGTGGTCAATTTCTGAACTACATCACATACTGGCTTGGAATTAAGGAATCAGCTGAAGAGTAAAGTACAGTAGTATTTAGTATTTGTCTTGTAATTTGTACAGACTGCTTCATTTTGCCAACCAGGATGAATATGACTACTTTAACTGCTGATATTAGGCTTGTTGAATGTAAATATCAGTTGTACTAAATATAATGAAAATAACAAAAAGTACCAGTTCTTGCTTCTGTTGCTGTGAGCTGACAGCAGTAATTTATTCCCAGGTCCTCCCATCAGGCTGATGGATGGTGAGAATAAGAAGGAAGGACGTGTGGAGATTTTTATCAATGGCCAGTGGGGCACAATTTGTGATGATGGATGGTCTGATAAGGATGCAGCTGTAGTCTGCCGACAGCTTGGCTACAAGTAAGAAAACTCATTAAGCTGTTTATCAAGTTGTGTTTTCTGTATCCAAAGATCTTAAGTTTCCGCAACCAAATAGCACAAACAGGTCTAATAAGATAATGGATGTCTTTTAAAACTTGTCAGTTTGGCATACTTTTAGAAAAATGTATTTCTACTATTTGTATGAAAAGTAATAAGACTATGTCTTCAAAAAGAATATTCATTAAGTAGCATAACTGGGAATGGGAATGTTAGTATTCAAAAGTGCGCCAGTCTGACTGGAAACAGAAATGCAAGTTAGTGTGAGTTATTAAATATTTTTCATTAGAAGTTAAACATTCCGAATTATTAGTCTATTAATTAAATACAAAATTTTAGTTGTCATATTAATTTCAAAAACAGGTCAGTGTCCACTGTCACAAGGCATGGATATATTGACTGCAGATTCAGATGCAAGCACACCAGCTACTGAATTCCTAATTTAATGGAGTTTTTCCTTCATCTACTGATCTGGCTAATTTGCTGTAGCGCGAAGATCTGATGAAACAGTTACACAATGGCTCCAGTCTGAACGACAGTAATTTCAATAAGCTTCATTTAATACAGGAATAGACCTGACAGAACAAACCTACCCTCTAACTAAAACCACTGCAATATATGTGTCACTTTTGAAAGACATCACTTAATCAGGCTTACACCACTCATCAGCATTTTTCTTCTGGATACCCAAGAGCAACAAAAAGATAACTATAGGGCAGATATATAAATAGCAGTACTAATAAGACTTGAAAAATACCCAGAATAGTAGTGCAATACAACAGGAAATTAGTGAAATGTCTTCTCCAAGTGTATCTATAAAGAAATTTGAGCTGAAGAAATACAAATCCTATTAACTGTTTGTTGTATCTAACAATGTGAAGTTAGTCCAACCAAATATCATCACATTATGTCTCACATTATGTCTGAACACACAATATATGGCTTGTAAATCTCCCTGGTATTCATTTAAGTAAAAGCTTATTTAAAAGCCCTACTACTACACTATGGCTTCAAAATGGCAAAACTTGACTTACAACTCAATATATCACTCTTACAAGTTACCTATCTTGTTAATTCCAGGATAGGTGTCCATCTATCCTAATCCACTTGATTTCCTCATTAACAATATAATGAATAATAATAATACTACTGCATCTGAAAAGCTCAGCATTGTTATTGTGCATGGCCCTTGGTGTGGGAGAACTGAGAGGAAAAGACCTGACACCACTTCTCTCCAGGGACAGATGTGAACTGACAAAAAGGTTGTTTCTCTGAGGGTCATCAGTGCATAAATAGCTGCTTGGAAAGCAGCAATTAAGGGACACCACACGTGTTTGTTGGGGGTGCACTAAAGCCAGTTGTAAGGGCACATTTCAGCATGTTACAAATACACAGACATAACATTTGTACCTTCAGAGATTTCCCAGTATTAAATAATTTCCTCTCTTAAGCTGCACTCCTTGCTCAAGAACACCACAAATTTTTACAGTTGTTTCCTGAGATGTTCTTCAGTGGGGGTTGGTTTGGGTGTTCTGTGGTGCTGTTGGTTGGTTGATTGGTTGGGTCTGAAAAGCTTTTATTCCCATTATCAGCAAACTGAGAGATTACTGACACACAGTAAGAGATAGATTGCCTTCGTACAAAGGTAGGAAGAAACAGGTACTGCCCTTATTAAGCAACTGATAAGATCTGGAGAGAGAATTCTGTACTAAACTGCAATAAATACTTCTCTGGGGAAGGATAAGAATACTATGGTTGGTGATTGATAACAAAGTAGTATTCAATAACCGGAGGAACTTTAGAACAATGCCCTAAAGCAGAAACTGTTATTTGACAGAGATACCAAAACCAGGTAAGAATTTACAATGAGTGCCTGTACTGTGCCACTGTGTTGTAACAGCAAACATGAACACATGAGCTGCCCACAGGTATCAGAGAGTCAGACTTATTTTTTTGTGGTTATCTGTAATCAGAGTATCCCTGACAAAAGAAAAACAATTGGAGCAAGAGTCACACTATTTGGGACTGACAAGTCAAATCATAGTAAACTCATTAGGCAGAGATTGTCCTATACTGGTTCCAAAGGCAGTTAAGGCTTTGGATTATCTGGCAAATACCTCCTAACCAGAAACTGAAAATTTGTAATGACTTGTGGTATCGTCTCTCACGTAGTGTTTAATGAGCTTCTCTTTCCTGGCTTTTTACAATTTTTGCATTCTAAACAATGTTCCCTACTTGGAAATCCTGCCCACCTACTCTTCAGGACATAGTAAAAAAATCCACACAGGCAAAGCTATCCACATGCAAAAGTTTCAAAAGAGAGGAAGCTCCTGTGTTACTTTCATGTTTCAGTTATATGGATGTGGCAATTGAAAGCTGGTTCAGTTTGAGCCAGCCACACTTCTACTGCGACGAAGCTTTGAAAATGGTTTGACAAATCAGGATGCTTCACCAACAGACCAAGCCCAGATCAAGAAGGGATGTAAACTCTTCATGCCATTCTCACCTACCTTCCCCAACACTGCAGGTATTAAAGAGGTACAAAAAGAGCTGTAAAGGGAGAGAAATACTTTCTTGCCCAATACATTTTCATAGTCAAATTCTCTTTCTCTGCTCCAGCATTTCATCACATCTGCAGTTACAGTTCTGCACAGTTACAGTATGCACAGAAGCAGTACTTTACATTATACAATTATAAAATATCCTTTAAAATGGAATCTGGAATTCCATATATCCTTATCCCAGTAAAATGTCAGTAAATTGCTCTTAACCAATAGGTAAACTTGTAGTTCCGGCACACTTAGAGGTGTCTGTGTCTTCCCGCCCCATTTCTCTGTATAGCCAGTTGGGTGGTCTCTCACTCATAATTCCTTCTGCCTCTTAAACCATATACAACAAAACATCTATTTATAAATTAAGAAGATTAGTTTAACTAATTAACAGTAATACTCTATCACAGGAGTTCCCAAACGAGATGCTTAAATGCTACACAAGCACCAAGTACAGGGTTCCTCCCAAGAACAGGGGGGTGCAGACCCTGAACTGGTCTCCAATCACATGATATTTTTAGACCTCAAATATGGGGTGCCCTGTAAAAAATAACATGATAAAAAATATTTTAATAACTACTAACAACTGACAGGTCTGTACATCATTGCTCCTACTGCACCACAACTATACAGTATTTAACTGGCCCATCTGAGGGAATCAGACCTGCACAAATTATTTTTAGCTTTCACAGATGCCGACTTTATACGAGGATTAAAGAGATTATGAAAAAGCAGCTTTCACATATTTTGTTTTATGGCAAAATGTAATGCTGATACAATGTAAAATACTTTGCACACTGTCTTCTTCTAAGAGATACACAAAAAGCAGTTTTTAAACATTAATGAAATGTAGCAATTTTGTCACAGTTTTATTTTTTCTACATACCAGAATAAGAGAGGTGGCGGAAGGTGCTTGTTATCAAGTGAAACAGTGACAGGGTTTAGAATGAAACCTCAATGTCTTTGACTACTCACTTGGAAATTTGAGTAAAATGTAGAATAATGCCTCAAAATGTTTAATAATAATAAAGAAATATGCTCTGTTTGCAGAGGTCCAGCTAGAGCAAGGACAATGGCCTATTTCGGTGAGGGCAAAGGCCCAATCCATGTGGATAATGTCAAGTGTACAGGAAATGAGAGATCCTTGGCAGACTGCATTAAGCAGGACATTGGGACGCACAACTGCCGGCACAGCGAGGACGCAGGGGTCATCTGCGACCACCTAAGCAGGAAAATCCCTGGGAACAGCAATAAAGGTGAGGGCCTGGCATGAGGGGCAGAACAACAGGTCCAGGTGAGCAAGTGTCATGGTAGGAAGAGACAGACTTAACAATCCACCTCACAGAGGAAACAGTTTTATCAAAAACAGTTCTAGAACAAAAGGGGTGGGAATCCTCTCTGCTGACACTGTGTGAGCTTATTCTTTGCAGCTGCACAAAGGAAGCACCAAGACTACTCAATCGATACAGGGTATTTGTTGCCATGGTTTAGAGCAGCCATGTTCATTAAGCTGCTTGAGGGACATGATGCAAAAACCTAAATAGCTCCTTTCAGCTTTTCAAGGTGTAGGTTATCCTCAGATAAGGACGAAGACCTGTGTGGTTGGCCATGGTCTGCTTCCACTTACAGAAAGTAAGGAAGAGCCCTATAAAATCCTACATGTGAGAACCAAATGTGTAAAGGACTCTGATCACAGTCAAAAGAACTCAGCTAAAAAGCATTTCTAAGTCTTGAATGAATTCAGTGTATTTTCCCCAGTCAAAAGATCTCAGCTATAAAGAATTTCTAAGTCTATTTTCCCCAATCAAAATTTGCCTTTTAAAAACTACCATGAAACACAGAATAACTTCAACCTTTAGATTTTTTTTAAAGTTACCTCTCATTTAATATTGGCCACTTTTCATGTTAAGTTTAACGCTCTCTACATCTCCCTTTCTGGTTTAGATTCTCTTGCTTCTGTTTGTGGGCTGAGGCTACTCCATCGTCGACAAAAGCGAATAATTGGTGGGAAAAATTCTTTACGGTAAATAATTGGTAAAGACAAATAATTTTGAATATAAAGCTTCTAAGACATGTATTTACCACAAGTGGTTTGCCAAATTTACAATTTTGTTGTAGGCTTGTTGTTTGTTTTTCTTTTGACTTGTCATGTTGTAGGAGTAGAAATATACCCAAAGCAAATTTGGCAGGAAATTAAAAAGTATTAATTGATAAGTACTTGCAGCATTAGTTGAAAATTTCTAGATGCTTGTGGGTAAAGTCCTTGAAGGGTTAAATTTTTAACATACAAAATAGCTATTTTACTTTTATCAGAGGATATCGTCATATCAGGATATGAGCTATAAAAACAGAGCTATGAATGTAGTACAAAGTTTTTAATGCCATCTACACCAAAAAAAGAGGCCTGGGTATGATTCACTGCCTAAGACCTTATTTTCTTTCATAAAATAAGCCTTGATGATGACACAACTAAAAAACTGGGAAGCACTGACTTTACTTTTTTAACAGTTGTGACTAAACACAAAAAATATATATATTTACACAATCTTACAAAAGGCATTGTAAAAAATACACTAACACCATCATTACATGGCACCGTGCAACCTGTTTAAAGTACATGCACAGCACTGATCAATCCATTTCTAAGAAGACACTACCAAGTGAGAGAGCTTCAAAGAACAGTAACAAGAGGGAGCCCCGAGAAATATTTTAACACAGCCAGATAAAGTAAAGTAGGATTACTTATCTTAGAAAGAGACAAATGAGATAATGAGTTAAGAGATAATGCATAGCACAGGAAGAGACTGAGAATTCTTGCCTCAGAATATGAGTTCTAACTTGCTGAAATGCAACGGTGACAAACAATGTATTGCACAAATCAGTCCGAGCAAAGAAGCTGGTCTCATCATTAATCAGTACAGGCATGTTAGATGAAGCAAAAAGGTGATAGAAATCCAACAGTGCATGCAGAAATGCCTCAAATTCAAGAAAGGGAGCATATGTATGTATCAGAAAAGGACTCAATGTCACAAGAAGTCATTAAGAGAAGGAACTTGAGGAAGTTTGAAAAGAACTGCATACTTATATATGTACCGGCAAAGCCAAAGATGTCTGAATCACCTCATTTTAGAAAATCGTATTAAATCCTATCTTTCAAAAGGGAGAAGTGTCTAAATTGTGTTATTCTTTATGGGAAGTAAATTCCTCCACCTTACTTTCACACATTTGGCATGGGTAACTCTGAGATGCTGGACTAGATGGCCCCTGGCAGCTCTTGTTGTCCAGCACCGCCATTCAAGTTGACAGTACTCAGAAAACACTCAGACTACCTGTTGCTTACTCTTAGATGCTGCCGTTGCCTACAGGTGCATCTCTCTCCCTTTCCCTTCTCTGACTCCTAATGTATTAAACCAGCAAAAAAGAATCCATCCTGTATTCATAGGTACACAAATATGGCCAGATCTACTATAAAAAACAGATAATCACAGGCTGAAAAAAGGTGTTCTTCTATACTTCAGATTTCTACAGTTGCTTTATACCTCTTGTTTTGCCACCTTCCTTTCTCATGAAGACAGGGATGGATGCTGGGTTCAGCTTTTCAAGAAATTCCCCTTTCTCCTCTCCAGTTGACAGGAAATTTCTGGTTTGTTGACTTGGACGGTATTTGGCAAGCAACCCACAGAATGTATTTTTGGCTCAATGAATGCAATCTGAGAAGAGAAAATTCAAATAGTTGACTGTGGGAGGAAGCACTTCAGAGTGCTGGATGCCCAAATTCTCTGTGAAGTAATGTGGACCATTGTTAAAAGGAATTCTGAATGTTGCCAGGATATAAAATATTCACCACCCTTAATAAACAGCACATTTTGTAAGTAAGCTGCGTCAAAGAAAGCCAACAGGATGCACATTGCAGGTAACCTGAGTTCCCCACTGCTGTACACTGAACACCGTGTGTCACTCCTGCAGGGGCGGCTGGCCGTGGCAGGTGGCACTGCGGCTGAAATCCTCTCATGGTGACGGGAGACTCCTGTGTGGTGCTACTCTCATCAGCAGCTGCTGGGTCCTCACTGCTGCACACTGCTTTAAAAGGTGGGTCTCTCTCCAATAGTGCACCATGGTTTAAACTGTTTTGTTGTTCTGGGCATATACAAAACCATTGCAGCTCAAGCCCATGGAAAACTGTTCCAAGAGCTGGCCCTTGGTCTTAAAAAACCCTACCAGTCAACTTCCTTTCCCTCAAACAAACAAAACACCCTAATGCATTGAAATTATTTGGGTGTTATCATTCATGTGATTTATATTCACCACTTCAACATTTTAATGAAAAAATATAGACAACACTTCAGACATTTTAACTTTCTGTTCAGAAAAAATGCAGCTTATGGCTTTTAGATTATAGTGAAGACAACTGAGCAGACACCAAACATAGGGACTGGAATATTTTAGATTAAATTTGGTAACAACAGATCTTGACAGTGATAGACATTTTTACTGTATCACAGCAGTAACTAAATGCAGGACTTCACTACTGATGAAGTTACTGAAGTATAAAAGCATCAACTTGTACAATAAGGAAGCTAATCTTGTGATTAGTGATTATTTCATTGGAATGAGCTGGGAAAAAACATAGAGGAACACTACAATTTTGTGGGTATTTGCTAGAGTTTGCTCAAGTGAGCTGCAAATGTTTCAAATTTTGGTTTTGAGCCTTTCCTTTTGCACACTAGTAACTAAAATGAAGAGTCAGATACACTTTTACTCAAATACAGTGTGCATTACCTTTGCTGTGCACCAGAAGCACATCTTTTCCTGTGTCCTGAAATCATGAAGGACTTTCCTTGGTAATATTTCAAGCTGAAATAGTCCAAGTTAGTAAAATTTCCTGCTATTTCAACTGATGTCCTAGGTGCTTCTGCAGAACTATGGAAGCTCTTTAGTTGCTTTTATCAAAATTCATAGACAATGACTTCCTATTTCCCTGTTCATTTTCTCTGTAGTGATTGCCAAGGATGCTGCCTAAGAAAGGTCTTGAGAAAGCCTTTGATTTCAGGCTTGAAAACTGAATGTGGCACCAAGGAGTGCCGATTTTGGATACTCTGCTGAGCACCCACAGGATGGGACAGCTGCATGGCTGGAGCAAAGTACACTGTGGTACTTCCAGATTGGTGCAGCCACTCAAGGGGCTGTTACCCATGGTCTCAGGGACCAAAGTATTGTTTTGTCCCAGAAGTTACGTTTAAACTGCAATTAGACCTAAGCATGCAGCTCCAATACCCAGTGGATGCACTACTGTTCACTGTAAATGAGGGAAGCCTTTAGCTCTAAGCTGGCTTTGGACAGGCTGGGCTGAACTTCCAAATGATCTCAGAGTGATTTTCAGGGATAGGTTTCCAAGAGCTATCTATAGATCAAGTGCCTTCTTCACATATTTTCCGCAGATGGACAACACAAAGGCCAGCATACCATTTCTCATATCCTGGAAATTGGAACACTGCTTAAGTAACCAATGAGAGCTCATCTATACTAGGAATAAAAATTAAGCATAATTTTATGCATGATTATTAAATTGTAAATCAGTACTACAGTGGAATTATTGGTTTCTATACTTTGGCAGATACATTATTTAAGATAAAATATTTGAAGCTATTTTTTGTTTTATAACCCATCCCAGTCTTGAGTTATTCCAACAGGTATAGGGAAATTGGAAGGTCTATACATTTGAAAAAAAATAACTGGATAATTAGAAATATGAGGCATAGAAAAACCCCTTAATGTATCCTATATAGAAGTTAATCTTTGGATGAAGGGATGTTTGTTCACAGCCTGCAGTTCTCTCTCCATGAAGTCTAGAAGTGAAATTTTGCTCATGGAAGACCTGAAGGATTAGACCAAGAAAGCTTTACAGGCAACCAGGAATGCAACTCACAACTAGAAGAAATATTCAGTGGTACAGCTTTATATTGTGCAGAAAACTGTAATGTTTCTGCTTTGTCTGCTGCTCCTACGGCAGGCTTTAACAAGCTATGGAGATCAGACCATTGCTGGATGGTATAAAAAGAACAGGCATAGGTTGAAAGGTGATGGGCCTCTGTGGGTACTATTTTCTCCAAGCACATTAGAAATTTCCTGTTGAAGGCTATTAAGGAAAGGGAGAAATAAAAGGAAAAAATATTTTTGCTAGCTTAGCCATATTTTAAAATAAATACATGTACCCAACAGTACTCCCTTGTTTGCATTTTGCCTGGGAAGGGCTGTGTGTAATAAAAAAATCTTCAAAGGCATGCACAGATAATTGTTATTTCAGCCACAGTAGTAATCTCTAATGTATTTACCATTTAGTCCACAATGTGAAAGAAACTGGGATTATATCACATACCAAATAAGCCTAAGATTTACAGGCCTCCTGTCAGTTTGACAATAGTTTGTCCTTACGATGCACAAATGCTTTGTCATCCTTACTATAACTTCAGTTGATGTAAGAGGTTTTTATCAAGTTACCTAAGCCTCTAAAGTTCTTCAACCAACCCAAGAAGCAGGCCTGAACACTGTTGTCATTCCAGTAGTTATCTGGAGCATCACAATGATGTCAGTACTCAGGCTGTCATTGCAATTACTGGCAGTTTGTGCTACTCTTCCTAAATAAATTTATAATGCATACCTTGTACATTTGAAGTGCGAGTCATGGCCATAAGAAAATTGCCTGTAAAAATACTAAAAAAGAACATGGCACAACCTGAAACCTCAGAAGAAGGTTTTTATATTCTTTAGGACACACTGAAATGTCTGTGTAAACATTTGAGAAAGCATTTTTGCTCTTTAAAAAAATCTTTTGCTAACATTAGTAATGTGGACTATAAAGAAAGTGATGAACTCTGTTAGCACACTCAGGATGTGACTGAGCCAGCCCTGTTTGTTTTCACCTCCATCTCAGGTACGGCAACAACACTCGCAACTACGTAGTGCGGGTTGGAGACTATCACACGCTGGTGCTGGAGGAGTACGAGGAGGAAATCGGAGTCCAGGAGATTGTGGTGCACAAGGACTACAGGCCTGACAGCAGCGACTACGACATTGCCTTGCTGAGGCTGCAGGGGCCCGAGGAACAGTGTGCAAGGTTCAGCACCCACGTTCTACCTGCCTGCTTGCCACTGAGGAGGGAGCGACCACAGAAAACTGCTCCCAACTGTTTCATCACTGGATGGGGTGACACAGGTAAAATCATTTCCATGCACCAATCTGGTTATCTGAGGCTGTTTTAAAAAAACCAACTCAAATAATTAAAATAAGAAAATGCTCAAAATTAAAGTATTTTACTCTTGTTTAATACAGGCAAATATTTTTTCTCCTGATCCTTAACCAGGAATGACAGTATTTTGCTCACTGATTATCGTTTGTATTTCTATCCAAGCAGTGATTAACCATGCCACACTAAATCACAGACCCTGTCAGTAAAGCGGCCTCATTAACAATGACAAGCAGGAATAAAAAGCTTATTTGTTGCCAGGCACACCCTGCACAGCAGCTTATCACCCCCTGCCTCAGTACATAACTAACAGCTCTAACACATTTAAGGTTTCAAAGGTAAGGACCATGAATATTTTAATTTTAAAAAGGTTATTGAAATTACAATACTTCAATAGAAAAATGGATGGAAACTATACACATAATAGAATTTCAAATAACATTTTGGTGTTCCCTGTTACCACTGACATTTTCAACCAGCTTTGATTTAAGTAATAGAACATCTTGCCAAAATTTGCAAGAGCCTCAACGCAATCTGCACTCCAGGCTTCTACTTGCTTTTTTTGGTCAGTACAAGATTCTTCCTCTTCAAAGGCCTTTGTCCTTGAAATGTTTCACAAATTAATAACCATGTTTTATGTTTTATGTTTTTGTGGTGCTGAATACGGTGCAAGACAGCAACCACACTTGAGCCTTTGTTCCAGTGACTCAAACTGCCAAGGAGACAAGGCACGGCCAAGTATCTGCCCCTCCTCTTTACACGCACTAACTAATCTGTGTGCGCAGATGTCAGGGTCACTGCACTACAATAAATGAGAGAGACGTGTAGGGTGGGTATTTTGCTAAAAACAATTGTTAATTCATTGCTAGCTCTGTCAAGCCCTTTTACATAATTCACTGAAAGTCCTGCAATACTGCTAACTTAGGACATCTATTTCAGGAAACGTTAACCACTGCAGTAATTGGCTTCAATTTATGGTAAGAAATTACATCATTGCAGTATCTCAGCTGACATTTCACGCTTACTATATGAATCATAATTGCTTCACAAGTTATAAGATTTTACTTAAAAAAAGGTAAAGCCAACACTGGCTTTCATTTCCCATGCTTTCAACTGAAAGAGGTGCAAGCTATGGAAAAAAAGTAGAAAGATCCATTTGAATGCTGTACTTGGAAGCCACCAGAAGATGCAGCACCTGTTCAGGCTGAGCTACACTAGATTTGAACTGCTGACACAGAAATAAAGGATTTCTACTGCTTTACTCTCAGCTGCTCAAGACTCCCCAAAATTGCTTCCACATAGACGTATTAAAGCGTATGCTCTTCCGTAGAAGACACAAAGTGCTTGGAATAAACCAAACTCCAGTCTTGGAAAGATCCAGAGAACACATGCAGAAAAGCTACTTTTTTAAAAAAGCATCTACATTTTACATTTACAATACCTACCGTATTTTAGTATTATATTTAATGCAGAGATTTTTTTCAGTAGTCTTGCTTCCAAAAATTTTATGTAATGACAAAGCAGTGTGAAGACCTGAGAGCAAAAATTGGATTAAATCACATCTATGTTTCCAAGACTGACCATTGTAATGAGACAATAATTTGGATCTCCTTTTTAGGACGGGCTTATTCAAGAACACTGCAACAGGCTGCGATCCCCTTACTTCCCAAGAGAGTGTGTGAAGAGCGCTACAAAAGGAGATTCACAGGAAGAATGCTCTGTGCTGGAAACGTGCAGGAACAGAAACGAGTTGACAGCTGTCAAGGAGACAGTGGTGGACCACTGATGTGTGAACGCCCAGGGGAAAGCTGGGTTGTGTACGGTGTGACCTCCTGGGGCTACGGCTGTGGGGTCAAAGATTCCCCAGGTGTCTACACAAAAGTATCATCTTTCGTACCCTGGATTAAAAGTGTGACCAAACTGTAAATACCCATAATGAAAACCAAACTTTGAGGCAGGACAACTTGAACAGCACATGCAGTGCACAGCTGTGATGGAAATAGACATTCTCCTGATTCATGTGTTTTTGTTTTCATTAAACCCAAGCTGTATACACTCAAGCCTTCCAGTTAGGGATTACTGTCCTTCCTGTTCCAGAAGTTTAAATATTGCATGAACAAGTTACCATGTATCTAAGGGGAAAAGTGATAGCCAGCTAGAGTAATCCTGGAGCAGGACAGCTGGAGACTTTGCCCCCAAGACTGTAGCTCCAAGCTATTTATGCTCCAAGCTTATCTACACCTAATTACCGATCTCAATTAATCTTCAGTCTAGTTTATTTAGTCTATTATTTCCATGATTTTACACTCAGTCCCCTAAATCTGACTCATGTTCCAGTAGCTTCTGAGACCACTCGTAGCCTGATTCTTGATAAGTAATTCTGAGTATGTATTAAATGCAGGAAGGAAAATAATGGTCAATAATCACATTCCCAGCTAACTGGCTAAATGTCCTCACAGGTTAGTGTGCCTAAAGTACATTCCCAAGTAAAAGAGGCAGTACAGGGACAGTTTCCCCACAAACATCCGGAACAGATGCAAGTACTTCACCTAAGCAGCATTTGTCCTATTTCTGAAATTCGCATTTTTGAGTACATACGGCATTTTGGAGAGGATTCGCTTTTTCTATTTACCACTAGCTGTCAGTACAGCGTCAGACTAACGAACATCCCTATCCTTTCATTGCTGGGCTTTGCTCAAGCAGTGCAAAGAACCTCAGTCAACCCTACCAGACAAAGTTATACGTACAATGGAGTAGTTGAGCTGAAACTTGTCTGAAAAGGTCTATAAAGTCTTAAAGTATGTTTTCTATAAAGTAACATTTAAACAACTCTCTCCTGCTTAGTTGCAACACTGGTTCAGGCTGATCTCACAGGAAAGCTTAGTTTTCAGTGACTTCCAAAGCACTCACACATCTTGATTTCATTTAATTACATTTCCAAATACTGTTTCCCATGCTATGAAATCCCTAACAACTTACTAAAAAATGCACTGATAACCAACTTGCTGTCCTTTGAGAAAGGGCCACCACACTGAACCTAGAACACAGCAGATAATCACTGCCTTTGTGTAACACTGAAGGCATCAGTCTGGAAATCACCTGTGAACTGACTCACTGGGGAGGGAGCCACAACAGCTCAGCACTACAACCCCCATGGTCCAAGACCATGCCGAGTCCAAGTGTGCTGTACAAATCACAGTAACCACCGTGCTCAGGAAAACACAACTGAAAGCTGTGGGTCATGAAACACTCCAGTGTGACAAGTGTGGCAGATGAGCGTCACCACATAGTGATTGTGCAAACTGCGACCACCAGTGACTGTTTCCCAGTTTCCTATTCCCCAAACTGGCTACAACTGTGTTGTGTGGTGTTTTGTGAAAAAGTGGGGTGCTTGCATTCATGCTGTAAGTGGACAATTACTCATTTTTGTGTTGTTGTGTGTCTGGTGTTATAACAAATATCCAAGATGACTCACTTGCATGTGAAGTGGCAATGACATTGCCGAAGCCCATATGATTGAACATGTAGCCCTTAGTATCTCCAACCTCAAATTTAAGTTTTCAAGGGTCAGGACTAATTATTGTAACTGGTGCTAAACTAGTACATGAGGTGCTTTAAAACATTTTAGTTCTCTGTAATTCCACACTATTTGAAATAGTGTAAAATATTTTAAAACATCATATATCACTGTACTGTGACCACCTACTGTTAGACCAATGCAAAACACTGTGCTAGTCAACTTCAAAACCATTGCATTTTTACTTCTATATAGCCCTTAATTATAAGGGAAGTCAGTCTGTCAAAAATTATGTGCATGTAACATCCGAGTTTTGCTGTACAAGACCCACTGCGACTTGTGGTGAAGTAGGCTACATAGTGCAATATATGTGTTATATACAGGGGAAATAACCGTCCTTTAATAGCTGCACCACAGAAATAGGGGGAGGGGGAACTAAGCCTGCATACTAAGTGTAGTAAACATTTAGATTTAGTACAGTACTTTGTTATTTTTGCTCTTTTAATAGAATGCTTTGTTAGATTTTTAAACGTTGCACTACTGCTTCCATGCTGAGCATGCCTTCTCAGTTTCTAACAAAATGAAATTGCCTCCATCTTATGCCATTCTCATTTTTGTTCAGTGAGCCTGATGGTGTACATGTATACAATAAAAACTGCCACACTGACTACAATTTCTGTATGCTAATACTGCCGATGTACAAGCAGCTGCTGCAGAACATCAGCGGGGTAAACCTCACATGGGCTGTACCTGAGAAAGGGGACTCTTGGAATCATCTTCCTCAAAGCACATAAATGTAGGGCTATTTTCTCCAAGAAGAAAGTTTGTCTCATTCCCAGCGCTTTAACTCAGACCAGTTACGTTGTCCTAAGTTCAAGCTACACTTTTAAAGCTGTTTAGTAACTGTGTTAATGGTGGCACAAACCAAGAAAACACTCGGCACTGGTTACCAGATGAGATTACCATCCTCAAGAATTGTCAACTCTCCAGGTTCCCCAGCACCATGAAGATTTATAGTTATACAGCCCTCCCGAACTTCCCAAGTTTTTATTTGCCAGAGAATACACAATACAGAAATATCACTGCAACTGACACACAAAGCCTCCTTAATGTGTCTTATCTCAAACCTAAGCAACTTCCCAAAAGAAAAGGGCCAGTCTGCCTAACTGGCGTTTACCTATTGAAGATAAACAAGTAACTGCCCTTGCAGAACAGACGTAGTAATTTCTACAAGTGCTGAGGCTACTACAGAGGTCCAATGGTTTAGGAGAAAAGGGAACTCACAATACACACTGTTGGCTACCAGGCTTGGCAGCCACCACCTTGGAATGCAGAGCAGTAAGCCATACGATAGGGCTGTTAAAAGAAGAGAGTAATCATGCACCACCAGTTAAACAGGTGTGCTATCACTTGTTACAACAGCAGACAAGAAAATACATTCAACTGTACTTCCGCTTGGTCAGAAAGAGTATATGCTTAAAAAAATTGGAACTCTTCCTATGACAGCTCCCTAATTTGCCCACCAAACACAAGCACCAGAAGTCATTTCCTCAGATCCAGTCCATGCTGTAATTAGAGACCACAGTTCTCCATTCACTTCAAGCAGGAATCCTGACCTCAGCTGCTGAACACTCAGCAGCAATCAGACTGCATGCTGATCATCTCAGTTCTGGCTCGACAGATTTTGTTTCCCAGTCCTTTCAAACCCTCCCTCCTTTCCCTCTAACTTTTCAGTTTCCAACTATTTGCAAAAAATACACTATTATTATTCGAAAGATATTCTATAAGAGATTGTGCCAACATAACTGGTATTCACTAAGACAGTACATTTAAGTAAAATATCTTGTCTGAATATGCAATGATTCACCATCTACTGGATCGCTATCAATCTTCTTACATATGGATCCCTCAGCAACTGCAAAAATCAACTCTTTAAAGTTGTTTCTGCCCTGCAGCACTTACCTCTGATTCAAGCCACAGCACTTCTGGAGTGGTTCCCAGACAATGCATCAGCCTCCTGAAACCACAGATTCTGCCCAAAAGGCGTGTCCCCAGAACAGGTAGATTTGGCATGTGTAAGTAATCCTGACAAACGTGTCTAGGTCTGGTCTTAGTTACCAGCAGTTTTTCAAGAAAGGAACCACACTTGCAGCCAGTCATGTCTCTTTATTGACTTATTCATACATTCAAATGCTTTACATTCACACGGACACCAAAATTACAGCTGGAGTTTCCACTTCCATTTTCCAGACTTCAAAAACTTACCCACAGCTTCTGCAGCACAGGGACACTCATTGCAAAAACCTTGCTAACGCCTGGAGAGCAGAGGAGCCATCCCTGACGGGGCAGCACAGCCACTCAACTACCAAAACCAGTGCCGTAATAGCTCAAGGCTTACTGACAGCCCAAGGAGAGGAGCAGCACATAATGAGATCCTAACTGGATTTGCCTCTATAGAAGCAGTCCAGGCTAATTTTAGGCACAGAAAGCTGGGTTCCAGCCCCTCTCCATCAAGATTACATAGACTAGAGAAGCTCTCATTAAAGCTTCAAATTTTAACTTTGTTTAAAAATCGAAGTAAAGACCTAGCCTAAAATTAGCTTTTATTAGCTCTGCTTGACATCCAGAAATATTACTGCTCCCAAAAGGCATCAATTCCAGATGATTAAACACATCCACCCTACCCTAACCAAAAATTAACAGGTTTAGACACAGATACTCCTAGAATTCACATGTAGAATTTAGCCCCATCTTCTTTCAAGAGGGTTTTTCCCCTGTAAAAACAAGTTTGAGGCAGTTTAATATTGCTACTGGAAACACAAACAGCAATCATCACCAAACAGCAGGACGCTCTCCCAGAAGTTGTAAAGCTGCTCTGAAACAAAGCTGTTGGTATTAACTTCCAATCTCCCTTGTTCCTACAGCTGCGGATTTCTCTTAGTACTCACATGCTTATAAAAACACACTCCTCTTGCCCAGGATATCCCTGAGCAATCTCCACTTAGATCCTTCTAGTCTGGCAGGCAAAGTACTGGCAGTGTGTTTTTTATGCTAGGAATAGTGGAATTATATTTTCTAATGTCTCTACATCCAAACCCAATTCCTTCTGGTCACATTAATGTACTTGATTATACTTTTCTGTCCCGAAAACACATAAAAATGAAGCATGCCTCAAAATAAAACACCATGATACCTTGATTTCAAAGTACAACTCACAGTAGGGTATACATTACACATAAATTATCAAATCGGTATTATTCCTGCCCCAAATCTCACCTCTGAAGAGCTTATTAGGCACAGCCAGACACATACTTTTTGGGAAGAGGATCCTGAACAACTATGTCTCCATGCTTTCAGCTTCTGCGCTCCTGCGGAAATACAAAAGAATTAAAATTGTTAAAAACTGGGCTGTAATAGTTTAGTGGAGGGAAAAAAAACTAAAAAAACAAACAACAAAAAAACACTCAAAAAAGGGGGATACATGTTAAAAACTGGGCTGTAACAGTTTAGTGGAGGGAAAAAAAAACCTAAAAAAACAAACAACAAAAAAACACTCAAAAAAGGGGGATACGGCTAACCCCATAGCAGAATCGGTTTGTTACTTGCCACAGTCAACGACTCATACCCACAAGAGGGTAAAAGTTTTGCCAATTAGCAAGGCCCTGCTCTTCCATGTCTAGGAAGGGAGTGAGCCACAGACGGCAGCTCCCATGGAGTCATGGATCTCTGCTTCCCCCACCACCCCCCTCGCCACCACGTGGCGGCCGCCATTTTCCTTTCCTCCCTCCCTCCCTCATGTGGGCCCCGGCCCCGCGCGGCCAGCTCCCACCCGTCCTCCCTGTTACGCAGCCCACGCCTTCATGGAGCCTACCTTCTATCTGTTACGCTCCGCTCCTTTGCCGCTGTAGAGAAGGCGCCCGACCCGCGAGCACCGCCGCCGCCACTTCACCTTCTCCCTCACCCTTCCCCTCCGCTTCCCGCGGCCGCTCCCCTCAGCGCCAACGGCCGCGCCGCGCGCCCCCCTCAGCAGCAACGGCCGCGCCGCGCGCCCCCCTCAGCAGCAACGGCCGCGCCGCGCGCCCCCCTCAGCAGCAACGGCCGCGCCGAGAGCCGCCCCTCAGCAGTAACGGCCGCGCCGCGCGCCCCCCTCAGCAGCAACGGCCGCGCAGCGCGCCCGCCCACGCGGAGCCCCACGAGCACGCGACCCAGCCTCACGCGCCGGCGGCGGGAACTGGGCGCTGCCGGGACCCCGGCGGGGGGCGGGGCTTCCCACGCTGGGCGAGGCCACGGAGCGCACGCGCACTGAGCTCGGCCACACGGGGAAGGCGCGGACGGTAAATGGGGTGGAGCCCTCTGGCCTTTTGATTCCCGCTCCTTCCCGACGATACCGAGCAGCATCCCCGGGGGGAAACGGGTTAAGGCATTCTCCAAAACAAAGCAGAGACCTTCAGCTGGTTGAGGCAGCGATGCTGCTTTGTCTGTGTAGATACGCGTGTGTGTATGCTCGGTCCAGTCCTAAGATGGCCTTAAATGCTACAATATTACTGCTCGCTGCTTGAACACCGTGGAGTAAAATAAAAATCAGAGGTCGTGAAAGATGTGTTAGAAAAATGAAGTCATCCCTCTAGGTGAACACAGATTATTTTCCTTTTCCAGTCCATGTAAGCAACTGCACTCTGGCCAAATGTCCACACCTCACTTTGGAGTTAGAACAGGATCGAACAGAAGAGAATATTCCAGTTGGGTGGCACCTACAAGGATCATCAGTCCAAATGCCAACCACTTCAGGGCCGACCAGAAGTTAAAGCCAGTTGTAAAGGCATTTTCCAAATGATTTCTAAACACTGACAGGCCTGCAGCATCAACTACCTCTCCAGGGAGCCTGTTCCAGTGTCTGAACACCTTCTCATTAAGAAATGCTTCCTAATGTCAAGTCTAAATCTCCCCTAATTGCTGTAACTTTCACACCACAGAAGCTTATTCAACTATTATTAGTCATCCTCAGTCCAGGGAAGACTCAAGAAGCTCAATGTATGTTTTTCAGATGATCACCCTTACTTGGTCTGAATTCCTCCTCCACTCAGGTTTCCCTGGCCCTTGCTTTCAGCTGCTGATCACTTTCCTGCTCCTGGGATTTGCCCTCTGCTGACTGTTGTGCTTTCTCCATCCATGTCATCAGGAGAGACAAAAAAAAAAAAAAAAAGTGTCTTTTGCCTTTGAGCTCTAGGAATTGGTGGACTGGAAGAACTGGAAAGAAATATTAAAGTAGATAAATCAAAGGCAGAGGCCAAAAAGCTATTATTATTTATAGCACAGATCTTTCCCCTTTTCTTATTACCTGTTAGTACTTTACAGTTTTTTAAAAGCTTATAGAGATGAGTATTATACAGGAAGCTTAGATTTCTTAAGTTGCATCATTTCTCTTTAATGAATGCAACATTTTGTTAACGTAGGTTTCCTATCTCCCACACTCCTAAGCAGCTTTTACCTAGCCAGATAAGTACAATTTTGTATTCTGTTCTGAATTTGTTGATAACAGTGAATTTTCCTTTGGACATTCACACCATCTTCAGAGGTTCCTCCAAAGAAAGCTTTTCTCATGTCTGTGTAGGCTGATGCATTGGCACAACTATTGAATCCCCAAGGCAAATGATTTGAATAAATTTTCCTTGTTATCTTAAAAATAGCAAACTCTGGAGATGTTTCTCCAGCGCATTAGCAAGTGCTGGCACAAGAAATAAAAAGTAAGCAGGAAGCAAAAGCAGTAAAACAAGCAGCTGCATAAAGCAGCAATATTCACTCACAGCAAGAGTAAGCAGTATTTTTCATTTCTGAAAACATTTCATGCTGCTCCTGTGCTGCTGGACTGTGTTAGAGCTCAGCATCAAGCTGCAATGGCTGCTAACCAACCTGGAAAAGGACAACTTTGTGAACATCAAAGTCACTTCCACACAGCACTACATTTTCTTATCAGAGTTTATTGTTGCACTTCAAATACCATGCCACTATCAGAATAATATCTATTTTTTTATTTAAAAAAAACTCTGAGAAAAATGTTTCCAGCAATTTTCATTCAATGTGAATGACAAGAGTATTACATCTATAAACATTGAAATATCTATTTAATTTCTTCCTGAGGAAGTTTCACATTTTTAAGCAATGAAAAAGGATATTCTGTACAAGATAGTCTGCAAATCATCCAAACTCATTCTTTCTGCACAAGTAGAACTGGGAAAATGTCACAGTATTCTCAGGAATGTTAGCTCAAATAATTAGGTGGTTTCTGATCAGGCTCTGTGTTTACACCCCCAAATGGTCATTATCTGCTCAGAACCACACATTGTTTTTTAATGGCACTGATGTCCACGTAAAGCAGATTTCAGAATCATGTTTATGAAAATGAAGATGAAACTCACAAAATCGAGCAGTTGTTAGAGATATCGCTTGTGCAGTTACCTACCAGGGGAACAGGAACCACAGGCTGTGTTAGCAGCCACAACAAAACATCTGACTTGGACTAGCAAACAGATTTGTTGTAACAAACCTGTTTTTTAAAGAGTATTAATACTGACAGTGTACTTCTGGAAATCAAACACGGATTGCAGGTGAGCTGTGAACAGAAGAGGTCACACTTTGTCAGGTAACTCGTGGGGTGTGACTTGGTTACTCAGCTGTACTCAGTGCATCCCCTGACACACACCCAGCTGCTGTCTGCATGCTGTGCTCAGCCTCCTCCTCCTTCACCAAGCTGGCTGCATGTTAAAAGTGCTTTTTAAAGGCTCCTGTTCAATGTAAGAACACATTTCAATAGAATAGTTCTGGAATAAAACCCCCCATGGCTTCATACCATCCCTTTACAAAAAAGTAATAATCCACCCAAGGCCGAGGCCGTGCATGTGGAGGATTTATTGTCCCAGTGCCTCATGGTGACCCCAGATGGGCTGTAAAATTCCCCAGGGGACAATGTGACCAATGTCACCAGTCTGTCCTTGACTGCCCACTCATTCTCAATCTGTCAGGGCCTTGCTTTCCCAGGGCAAGAAGACAGAGAGGGAATTCTTTAAAACAAAGAATGAACTAGGAATGATGCTGAAGGCCATTCCTCCTGCATGTAGGAGGCACTCAGTCTGTGTTCTCACCCTGAAAACATCAGGCACTTGACAGTGCCCAAGGTTTTTCCCATTTTCCTCTATTTTATAACGCTGTTTCACTGAAGAACATGGAGAACTGAGGCAGCACTGCACAACAGGGGCTTTGTGCAATCCCTGCATTTTTAAAACACTGAATGATGTTACACGAGGTTGTATCAAGAGTAAAATCAATCATGACGGGATGAAAACCCCAGGTATTTTCTCCAGTTATTCAATTTAACTGTAACAAATCTATATGGATGCTTGCAGGAAGCATGAGCAGTCTGTAGCATGCAGAGTATTTGCTTTTACAGATGTTCAGAATCCAGAGTGTTTCTTTTATCAAATAAGTACGTTAAGACAAGTCAGCTTTTGAGACAAATCCATATGACTGAGTATTTAAAGTGAAATGAAATTCTCATTCTAATAAATAATAGAAATGTTCATCTTAAAAAATGTCTACTCTAGTAGGTCCTCATCCTTAATCATGCATATTCCCTTAGCAAAAATGTGCTGCGTAAAGAATATTGTTATATACAGCAAATCCGTCTAGATTTTTTTCTTTACAGGCCTATCAAAACCACATATTACATAGACAAAATCAATAAATAATAAAGATTACCAGTTAGAGGTACAGTAAGGATCTCAACATCTGTTTTCTATTTAGGGAATAACAGACTGGTTTCCATTCCATTACCTTGAAAGTTAAATTGCATGATTACATAAATGTTGCAAAACAGCACTGAGACATAGGAAGTTTTTCCACCATCTGATGCATGTTTTTAAATATTCACCCTGAAAGAAACGATGAAAACATTACAGAGCTCCTGTATAAAGCCTTGCATTTAGTACTGTAGTTCTTTTTTGTTTTCACTAACCCTTCATGCCTTTAGAAACACTCAGAGCCAAAGTTCTGTGAGAAGCATTAAGGCCACACTTAGCTGAAGTTTCCAATGATCTTCCTCAACTGCTAAGCACTATTGATTAGACTTGATCTCACATCTAAACTGATGCATTGAGAGAGGCATTGGTGACAACTATCATAAATATCTGCCTGCAAGGGCAGTATTGTGTTTTCCCATGATTTGAGTGTATTTTTCTACCATGACTACACACCGTGTTTATTTTTGTCCCCTCTAAAGCTTAGTCCTAATATTTAATACCAAACATGTTTAATGTGTCTGGAAACAGAAGTGGTATTTTCATCTGGAAATGTGGTAATTTTTGCAGCTGATGTCATCTGAAGGTTGCAGAAAGATGCTACAATTTTTATGAGGTTGAGGGGGAAAAAGCATAGGTTAAAGGCAAATAAATTAAGGAAAAAATAGTGGTGCAAAATAAAGCAATAAAAGTAAGGATCTGTTGCTGCTTTTTAGGAGTTTTTAGTCCATTTCAGTGGAGTCACTCCTGACTCAGAGCAATGTAAGCCTGGAGTGCAGTGTTCGGACCTGGCCGCTCACAGAGCCAGGGGTGAAAGCCTCTTCCTTGCACTGCTCCAGTTTGGGTCACAACTGTTTAAGTCTAATACTGCAACTTGTGTGTTTCACATATCCAACCAAACTTCTGCTCAGATAACTCACATCTCAGTCAGTACAGAATCAGACACATTAATACAGGCAAAGGCCCTTCCTGCACTGTGAGGGTTTGTTGTTACCAGGTATAATCACAGGTTCTGTTTTGGCTTTTGTGTGGTTTTCTTTATACACCTGTGGATTGCAGATGTTGCTGGGTGCATTTGTTGCCATGCAGAGCTAAAGGATATGTGCTAACTGTACTGCTCCCCAGTGTCTGCACACAATTAGCAAGCTGATTCCAGAGGCAGAAGTACTCTGGGCATTTTATGGTACATTTCATTATCTTATCCTACGCAACACAATAATCAAATCCTAAGAAAAACTGCCAGTGGTCCAACGAAGGGCTACAAAACCTACATGAGACACCATACTTTAAAACTGATATATAAAAATGGGAATATTTACCGTGGAATTGGACAGGTCATGTATCTCTGACGCTTATACCAGTTGTAAATAACTTCCACATATGTGCACAGTAGTCCACAAGTCCACAGGCCCAGAAATGTTTATGAGAAAGATTTGGCCCACCAGAGCTC